TGTGTGTTTTTTCTTCGTTTTTGTTTTTTTTTCTTGGGGGGTTGGGGGGGTTCGGGGTTGGGCGGGTTGGGGGTGATGGGGTTTGTGTGTGCTCCCCTTGATCAACATTGCCCAAGGGAGGACACAGAAGGAGATTGCCACAAACATGTCCTTTTGCTTTCCGTCATGCAAAAGAGGGAGGCTTTAGACTGCAGGGCTGGCGATGGCCAGCTGGTGGATGGCAGGAATGTGGCACAACATGCAGTGTATGCATGTTTTGTTGCAATTTAGGTCATGCAGCGTATGTAGCGGCCAGGCAGTGGGATGTGTGCATGTACAAGCATGCACATCGATGCGCACCTTTTCTGCACACATGTGTCATCATCCAAATGTAAAGGACGCAGTTGCGCTTGGTCGTTTGACTTGGCACAGGCATTGTGTCTCATCAACCCGGCCACTAGCTACCGCAGCCACTTGGCAATAATCCGTGCGGCGCACACAGGCCCGTTGTATTCATTGGTCGGGGAAGGGGGCTTCAAGGTCCTGCACAAGTGTCGTGGGAATCTTATTGGGCCCCACCGCCAAGAAATTTCAACAAACTCCCAAATGGACAATAGGGCCGTAGGGGTGTCTTTTTTGAGGGTACCTCTTTTGTTGTGGTTTGAAAGGGGGCCCAGCAGGGGCCACAAATTTTTGGTCCCCCCGGAACGGAGCACATACACTGAGGAACAGTTTGAGCAAGCCTCACATTACAACAGCTTGGCAGTCCCTCTATTTCCAGTTTAAACATCACTGGGATCAAAGCTGTTGGGTGTTTTTTCTTCCCATCGCCTGGATGAGTGGCTGAGTTTCCTTTTGGGTGATGTTTGAGGGCACGGGGTGGAAAGAGACAGGATTCCCAAATGTTTCTCATTTTGGTTTGTGTCAAACACGTTTGGCCCAACATGAAGTGAGTTTTCGTTGGGTTTTGTGATGTTTAGCTGAGAGAGTAGCCAAGGATCTTTGGTATCTCTGGTGACGCCTCTCCTGCAGAACTTGCCGGAGGAGATGTACCGCAATCTGCCGGCGGCTTCTGGGCACATCAAGTCATCGAGGGTCTAAAGGAGAACCATCCCAAAAGCATTGTTGCAGCAGGCAGTTCGCACTCCGCATCTCCTGACTGCTCTTGGGCCATGGAAAAGAAGACTGCTCTCAAGTGAGACCAGCCTTATTCAAGTAAGAAAAGCCTTATTCAGCTTGTGGCCTGAACAACTTTCTCTTGGGCCCATTCCTTAGGTGCCACAAATGGGGTGGGGGGGTGGGCGCTCCAAAGAGCCTTCGCCGAGGTTCTTACTCCGCTGGTGGGCAGGCTGGGGTGGCATGAAGGCATCATAGGGCGGGCGCCGGGGGCCCCAAGGGCCGGGGAGGAGATGCATGGTCCAAACGGTGGGCTGCAATCACAGGGTCCAACTGCAGCTACCCTTCCACCCTTTTCACCTGGAACCTGACTCGCGGGACCCGGTTCCTTTATAGAAAGGACAATTGTCCAAAGCCAGGACCCCCCCGGCAGGTTCCACGTTACTTGGTGGGGGGGTAATCATGCACAATTTTTCTGGTGTGCGTCGGAGCTGATCTGGCGGCTGTTTGTGAGGGCAAGCGTTGTCAAACGAGTCGTAGTCAAAACCAGGGGCACAAGATTCGTATACCCGCGCGCTTGGTTCTTCATGAAAGGTCCGCTTCCATTCTCCAATGGTTTCCCTGCCAGACCCAAAACCCACAAACTTGTCATAATGTTGACCCCATATTCATAAACCCTAGTTTATGAATAGGTGTCCCCGGGATGAGTGGGGAATCAGACCACTTTTGGAGGGGCCCCTACCCCCCTATGAATAAACTGGTTGGTTTATGAATCGGGGGCAGTACCCCAACAAGGCACGATGGTTTTCGGCCGCCGGGAACGGCGTGGGCCTAGGAGCACGGATCAGCTGGATCCGGTGGCCAGCTTGCTGCGCGTCAGCCGCCGGGGGTCCTGGGGGCTGAAGGAGGCGGAAAGGCTCCATGTCTCGAGGGGGCCCCATAGAAAAATCAACATCCCCCCTCCCCCAAAAAAGAAAGAAAGCACAAACACCAGCAACAAGCAACAAAAACAAACTCATTCCATTTGTTTTCTTCACCCCCCCCCTCTCAAATGAAAAAGGCAACAACACAACTGCGAAACAACACAAGAGCGACAAACAACTCAATTCTATTTTTTTCTTTGGGGATACATGTCCTCAAATGGCAAGAATGTCCTTAGTTTTCTTCTTCTCGTTCCCTTTGAATAGCCAACAAACAGATCTCGGGTTCGCCATGTAAAACAACTATGAGACAGACTGAAGAAGGGAGCCCCTTTTCGGGCCAGTCTGAAAACTGAGCCCTGCATTTGGGCGTATCTTGAAGTGGGCTTAGACACTGGCTGGTGTATTTATTCTTGGTTTCCCTTAAGCCCAACCAGGCTAGCCTCACCTATTCGTGCATCGCTCGCCACTGCAAGTTGAAGCTTGGACCTTCTGCAATTCCCTGCTTCAGAGCGGGGTAGCGGGAAGCCGTTGAAGCCGGCGGTTTCAGCCGGCGGTTTCCTTGCCGTTTCAAGCGCCAGCCCTTTCGCCAAGTCCTTAGGCGGGCTGCACCGTGTGCTGCCGCCTGAGACCTTGCGGTTTCGGGAGGCGATGCTCCGTGACCTGTCCGCAAGTGGCCAGGTATCCCACTGGTGCTCGGCTTGGATTTGGAACTGCATCCCTGGCCTTTGCGTGGTGATTGAGGGAGCGCCCCAAATTGAGCGCCTCGAAAGCACCGGGCACCAAACCACCACTTCGCCATGGAAGCTGAGGTGAGGTTGAGACAACGACAGCACGAAAGGAAGACACAAGTCTGGGTTTTGGCACTTGCCGGGATGAATCCACCGAAAGTCCGCTGTGCCTTGTGTTTGGGTGGGGCAGCCTTCAAAATGGCAAGGCAACGGTGCCGTTTCTGGATCATGGTAACAAGAAGTCCAGGAATCCATTTTGGGTCCCCAAGAAGACCCTCGTGCTCCGAAAAGACCGATGGAGTATGAGGAAGCGTAACGGCCGTCACCTGCGAGCCGCCTTGTTTTAGAACCTATTATGGAAGGTGCCGATTTCGGAGCACGGGACGGTAAAGGCCGATGAGGTGTGGATCATCCTGAAGCGCGAAAAGGTGACACCGTTTCTTCAAAGTGTCACGGTATTTTTTTGCCAGCATTTGAAAGGCTAAGTCCGCCCTTTGCGCTTTGGCGCTTTGCACGGCTTCCTTGCTCCTTCCACATCGACATGCCCCACTCTTGAGATTACATTTCCATGGTCGCTTCGAGATGACATCCGGGGCCACCACGGGGAGTCATGCCTTTTTCTTCGAGTGAGTCCCCTGTCCAAAAGATCCTTTACCAAGCCCCAAGCCACCAAGTGAACCTAAGGTAAGTTTTTTTTCACCGGCGAGAGCCCAAACCCAACTTCTTCATAAGCCAACCCGAAAACCCCCGAGAAAACCGCCTCAGCCAGCTCAGCCGAAAGCCGCGTTCCGCCCTTCGCAGGCCAAGGCTTGCGGCGGGCGGAGCCGCAGCTCCAGAAGCTGCAGAGCTTCCCGCGGACCCTTCTGCTGGTGGGGGAGGGGGGGGTGAGGGGGGCTGGGGCTGGGGGGTCTTAGCCCGGCCGGCGCTTGAGTCCAGGGCTTTGTGTTTAGTCCTGGTGCGATAGGCGACCACATGCCCTGAGCACCAGCAGGGAATGTCCATCTTTTTTTCTTTTTTGTGAGGCAGCTTTTTTTGGTTTAAGTATCCTGCCGTCCCTACCGTTTCTATCCCAAAACCCCTCAGGTTCGGCAGCCACATTTTCCCTTTGGGACGCAACTGACAAGTCAACCTCAGCCAGTGGGCACACTTGAGCTTTTTTTTTGCCTTGGCTCTCCCTTGGTTTTAGTGGCCACCCAACTTGTGCACACACATTTTTCTGGCTGGTCATTGGCCAAGCGAGAAACGGAATCGGTTGTGACAAGCTCAGACCTTCAGGCGGGCACCGCAGACCTCGTTTTGCCCTCGGTCTCTGAGACGGAGCGCTTGCAGCAGCTGCTGCCAGGTGCCCGGTGCTACGCGGTTGGAATCGCAGACATACAGCCGAGAGTCCCTTTTTTACGCTCAGCTTTCCAAGGCGACTCGGTCTTTGTCCAGGTCCTTTGGATTTTGAGCAACCCTCAGCCGAGAGGCTTTTCTTTTTCTTCTTTCTTGAGTTACCCTTCCACCAGCTAACATGGGTTTGTGCACAGACCCCTGTAGAAAGACTACTCTCCTCTTGGAAAGGGCCTTGCGCTTCTATGTTAGTTGGTGGGAGGGTAATGCTCGTAAACAATCTCCGAGATGGTTGCCTGATCGGTATGGGGTCATGTTGCCCACCAAGCGGCCTGATGCTTTTACAATTGTCAAAGTCACCCCCGAAGTGGTAGACAGAAGGGAAACAACCGATTCCAGTTTCTGACGTCAACCCCCAGAAACGGCCCTTAAAGAAGCAATAAGTTTGTGTTGTTCTTTGCTTGGGCTTTTCTCGACAGCCATTAAAACTTGATTGAAGCTTTTGCCGGCGTCACGGCTGTGCCTTGGTTTTTCTTCAGCTAATGCGGCCCCTGCTCGTTTGATGGCAATGCCCAGGTAAAGTTTAGTAGGGGCAGTCCCAAGATAAGTGCGGAACGCCGCCCTTTTGATACTTTTCCCTTTCCTTTGGGGTTAGGGCTCCTGTTCTACCATGGCAGTGGAAGTTCTTCAGGGCTAAAGGGCGCAGGAGGCTGTTTGCCTGCCCCGCTGGCGAAGGGGAGGATGCTGGGTCGGCCAAGGTGTCCGGGTCAATGAGGAGGATGTTGTTCTCAGGCTTACCTGCCGCCAGCATCTGGCGGCATGTAGCAGTCCACAGGTGGGTGAAAAATAGAAGGGAGAATTCCGACATGTTGGTTTAGTCATGCTTCTTGCTTACCCAGCCACATGGCTCAAACATTTTCAGATGGTGAGCTCCAACGTTGTGCCACGTGTGCGGATAGACTGCAGGCCTGAGGTGAATGAGAGCGAGAGTGCCTCGGGGTCAGACACGGACACTTCTGCCAGCTCTTGGGAAAATGGAGCCGCCTGGCTTGCAAGCTGGGAGAGGTTTCAGGCTCTTCGGAAGGTCTGGCAGAATACAGCGCCCTGGACAAAGAACGTCTTGGCGTTCTGGCACACCTACCTGCTTTTTGTGGTAGCTTGTGCGATTGCATGCTCGTCCCTGGTGGTGGTCTTGTTTTGGCACGTTGAGTGGTTCCACCGGTATCACCCGGACGTCTCCGAGTTCGACTTCACTTTGCATTTTCTGGCCGCCTTTGTGAAAAGTTGGCTGCTCATAAGCATCGCCAGCGACCTGCTCCGTTTTTGTTATTTGCTCGGGGTGGACGTGTGGAGGGTGGACGCTCGGTCTCTAGCCATATGTTGACTTTGAGATCTTTTATGCTTTGAGTTTTTCGGGTTGAATTCCCCTAACGCAGGCCCCGAGTTTTTTTTCCCCAGGTCCGGCGGGCCGGATGGTGGCAGGCTCCCATGTGTTTTTTGGCTTTCACGGCCTTTGGCGTGCTTTGTGGCTGTTGGCGGTGTAGCTTTGGCTTTCCACATCCTCAGCATCACCAGAAACTCTCAGCAGCATCACTGCCAGGCTGGTGTTTGTAATCCACCCTAAACCGGCACCTCAGCATCACTGCCAGGCTGGTGTTTGTAATCCACCCTAAACCGGCACCTCCTTAAACCAGCGGGGGTCAACCCGAAACAGTCCCTAAGCAACTATACCAGCCCTACTCCCGTTCCAAAGCAATCCTACACCAGCCTAAACCTATCATAACACTCCCCCCCCCCAACCCACCCCAAACGAACACTGGGCAAAACCTTCCCAACCCTGGACCCACCCTAAACCCACGCTAACCAGCACTAAAGAAACCTGAGAGACTCCCACCCCAAACCAGGTTCGCCCTAAACAAAACCTAAGCAACCCCTATACCAACCCCAAACACTTGAAACCAACCCCAAACCACCCTAAACCACCTCTAAACCATCCCTAAACCAACCCTCAACCAACCGAACCTGAACGGGCCCTAAACCAACACCCAACCTGGCCTAAACCCACCCAACCTTAAACCCACCATCAACCAGAACTAAAAAAAAACCCTAAGCCACCAAAATTCAAACGCTATACCAACCTTAAACCTAAACCAGCCCCAAACCTACCCTAGGCCTTCCTTCTGCAAGCCCTAAGCGAAACCCGCCCCAAAGGAACTCAACCCCCGCCCAAACCCACCAAAAACAATCCTTGAACCCAACATAAACTGAGTGTAAACTAAGCTGTTGCTGATGCCAGGGGGTTGAAAAAACGTCATTTAGTGACTGCCGAACCTGGCAAACTATGGCCCGCCGAACCTATGAACATTTAAAACAAGCTTTGAATATTCTCTTTTTGGGTATTGAACATGTTCATTTGGAGGGCACCGTCCCAAAAAGAAGCATGGAAGCTGACTGGGTGCGTGGAGCACTGTCCAAACCAGGACCAAACTTTTCGTGGGATACGTCATGAATTCAACGAACCTTGGACTCCCCTGTCACCTTCCCACCTCTCCCGGCCGAGGACATGTTCGAGGCCTACCGCCGCGCCATGTGCTTCGCCTCCTTCGCGGAGATCAATGCGGGAAATTTGTATGTCTGTGGGTGGCCGCAGCCCATCCAGAACTGGCGCAAGGCGGGGTTGATGATACAGACGTTTGCCCGTTCCAGGCAAAGACAAAAAGACAAAAGACGCTGGACAGACAGACAGACAGACAGACAGGCAGGCAGGCAGGCAGACAGACAGACGGACAGGGACACGCAGACAGGCAGAAAAAAGACAGACAGGCAGTAACCAGATACACACACACACATACATACATACATTACATACATGCATGCACGCACGCACGCACGCATGCATGCATGCATGCATGCACGCATGCACGCATACATGCACACATACATGGTGCACGTACACACAGACATGCGCGCACACATGTATACATACCTACATGCCTACACACCTGCATGCCTACCTACATATCTGCAGACCTGCCTGCCTTCCGGCCAACATGCCAACATACCTTTATGTTTACACATCTGCATGTCTGCATACATACATACATCATTGCTGCATGAATGCATACCCTGACGCGCATGCACACGCTCACACATGTGTGTGCGTGCAAACATGCGTGCAGAGTCACACGGACATACACGCACGCATGCACACATGCATGCGCACATGCATACACATAGCACACACACCCACACTCGTACATTGGTGAATACGTGCATGCATGCATCCATCCATCCGTACGTATGTACGTACACACACACACAGACACACACACACAGACAGACACACACACAGACAGACACACACACACACGCAGAGACATACCTACATGTATGCGTGCATTCAACTGCATGCGTGCCATGCATGCACACACGGACAACACACATATTTCCATACATCCGTACATACATACATCCATGTATCCATGTATCCACATTAATATGTCCAAACTTCACATCCATACATCCACCCATCCATCCATCCACCCATCCACCCACTCATCCATTCCCACGTACGCAAGCACGCACGTACGTACATGCATGCGTACAAAACAGAGACACATGCGTGCGTGCATCCGTGCAGGCATTCGTGCGTGCATGCTTGCATGCCTGCACCCATGCGCAGACACATGCACACATACATACATGCATACATGCGTACGAACCTGCTTCACACATACAGGCATGCATACATACACACATATACACGCATGGACATGCATACATACATACAGGCATACATACCCACACACACTTACATACATACATACCTGCATACATACATGCAGGCATACAAACACACATGCACACATACACACATACATGTGTACAGAAAAATCCATATACAGACATACAAACACACATACGCACACATACAAGCAGACAGACAGCCAGACAGACAGACAGACATACCTACCTGCATGTGCGTGCGTACACACATACACTCATAGACACACACACACATACATACATGCACGCATACCTACATACAGTCATACACATACACGCATACATACAGACACATACATACACGGATAAGGACAAACACACACACATACACATATGCAGGCATACATACATAAATACACACATGGAGGCATGCATACACACATGCACACACAGGCACACACACACATACACACATAGACACATACACACATACACACACACACTCATACAGACACACACGCGCACACCTACATGAATAAATGCAAACAAACAAAATAAGAAGATACAAACACACAACGAAACAAACACACACACGCACACATACGCACATGCATGCATGCATGCATGCATGCATGCAAGCACGCACGCATACATGCGCAGCAGCACAAACACACACACCCATACTTATGTATACAACTGGGTATATACATACATGTTCATATTGGCATGTACACTTGTACGCGCACATATGCACATATGTACATATTTGTTGACACCTTCCAAGGCAATTGGCCAACCACTTTTGGATTATTTGACGTGGTTTTCCATTTTCAACTGCTGTTACTTTGCACTGGCCTTTGGGACGCAGGTGGTGGACCTGGTGCTGCAGGTCTGCATCTACGTGTCGCTGGACGTGCTGCCAGTGATTTTGCTGGCGTTAGACTTTGCCTCCTGGAGTGGGGTGATCGGCTCGCTATGCACCTGCCTGTTCTGGTCAGAGTTCCTTGAGGCTTCCTTTTGGTTTTCAGGGGGTGGCATAGACATGTGACTGTGTATCCACATCTGGCGAGGATCCTTGAAGGAAAGCGAAATGTAGGCCAACCTGTTGCAAGATGCTTTCTGGGATTGGGACCCCTGCGTGTGGATTCTGAAGGCTTCGGACGAAGGAACAAGAGCGATTAGAACATCCATTTGGCTGGGTTTTAAGGAAAGTTACAAGGAATTGGTTTCTCAATTCGTGCTGCAAATTGGCTGCCGGCTGTTTTAACGGGAAGCGAAGAGGAAGAAACAGTTTAGGCTTGTCAATCCCTCTGCGTTGGATTTGAGGGAGTTGCAAGGGAAACCGCTACCATTTTGTGGGGCTGCGTGTGTGCCTGTGAAAGCTGAATGGAATCCCCCACGACATGTTCACATTGAGCTGCACCCCCAACACATGCATGACCGAAGGCCTTGAGCGCTCGAGACAAACAGTTCGCGCTCGGACCCGGGTGCCCCTTCTTGAGATGGTTTTAGCTTGCAATCTGCACGCAGGCCGGAAGCCATGGATCCTTGGCTCACCCAGGCCTTAAGCCCCCGTCGTGCGACTGTCACTACACCCAACTGCAAGGACAGAGTTGCTGTGTGCGTGTGCGACGAGGAACCAGAAAATTGAGTCGGTGACCAGGGCCGCGCTGACGATGACCCCAACCAGGCTAGCTGGGGCGCCTGCGGCGCCCCCAACTCCCTTGAACACTTGTCTTTGAGTTCAAGCTGCTGGTTGAGTTCTCTGCAGAGGTCGCGGAGACTTTGGAGTACGTGCTGTGCGCCCTTACCACACGTGCGTGCGGGCGCAGACTTTCAAGACAAGCTTCTTACCCACAGCCTATAGAAGGCTGCATTGTCATCGAAATCGACGACGCTGTTTGTGTTGAGGCTGGAGCGCAGGCAGCTTTGCTTGCATTCTTCGCACTTTCCTGGCTGGCGTGCAGACGCAGGCCCGTGAGCAGCAGGGAGTTGCCCGCCAGGCAGTGGTTGACAGGGTCGTCCGCCTCGTTCCACTTCCGTTGTTTGGGGCGCTCCGCCTCCATGCGCGGCGCCCTGCTGCTGCCCAGCAACGGCTTCGTCTCTTCTACGCGGTAGACGTCCTGCTTGACGGCACGGCCGGCTAATCTGTGTGAGTGTTGGCAAATGTTGTTCAGTCAGAGCCAAGTCCCAGATTGAACTCTACAATTTGGTGGCATCGATGCAGACTGTACTTCGGCGCCAATCATCGAACAACCTCATGCCGTGGAGGCAAGAGATCTTGCGGCAGCAGAAAGCGGGCGTTCCATCACGAACTGCCGCTCCTCGACCAAATTCGGGGACTCGCCGCCACTCAGCTGGGTGGCTACGGCGTACCCAGAGTCAGAGTCGGCCATGAAAATCCTTTTCAAAGCCAACGAGATGGATGACCTGGGACTCACCAACAGCAGCCAAGGCCGCAGCCTCCACAGCCACCCGTCTGGAGTCGGATGGGAAGGCCTCTGCCCTTGTAACAAGCAAGGGCCTCTATCGGCGATGGCCAATATGGATCCCGCGCAGCTTCAGCCAAGCAGACACTTCAACCACGACACCCCTGAAATTTTTGTGCGAGCAGTGTAGTAACGCAGTCCGTGGGAGCGTCAAGATGCCCTCGGCTGCGGAAACTCGTGGAATCTCCCACATCTTGAGCAGCATTCGCAACACATGCGTGAAGGAAGGCCTTGAACGACAATGAGCCAGAAAGGAACACATGCAACATGGGTGTGTGAGTGTGTGCTTTCTTGAGTATTGTGCAATTTGTTCGGGTTGGTTCAAAGGGATGCCAAAAGGGAAATCCAAATCCATTTTGGCTGCCTTTTTGACATATACCCGTTGCTTTTTGCGAAGGAGCTACCATTTCACTCTGGCCGTCGTGGTGCTGTCTGTGGCTTGCGTCCATGCGCCTTGGTTGGTTTGTAAAGGCCACCGAGGGAGCGAGTCGAATGGCTGGCGGTGGGGGTTTCCGAGGTGGAGCGTGGTCAATTTTCCCATGACTTCGTCCCGATTCTGGATGAAGGGGCCGTAGGAATCCCTAATGGAGATTCCGCTTTGTGAAGTACAGAGGTGGCTGTGAGGGGCGCCAAAAGCAACCCGTTTTTGTTCAAGTATCGTTTTACTTCTTGATTTGTGGAGGGTCACGTAGTTGTGCCATGGTCAAAGCCCTCCTTACTTGGCAGGGATGACCAACATACGGGCGTGTCTTTTTTTTGGACGGTACCAAAAAATATTCCCATATGGAGAGTCACTGTGTTTTTGGAGGGTTTCCCAGTCCCAACGTCAGGTTCTCCTCTTCTTCCTCTCCTGGTCCTTCGGAGATTTGGCCCTGAAATGTGCCGCTTTCTCGGCCGCGTGCCGGGGGAAGGTGCTGAAGGCGGGAATTGGAAAAAGGGGAGCGATGCTCGTTCGTCGTTTTTTTTGGTTTCGGTCTGTTTCTTGTTTGTTGTTTTGTTGCGTTTTTGAAGTTTGCTTACACATGTATATGCCAGTACATACAAAAATACCTATATACATCATGCAGTTCCGGATTTGTGCTTTGCGTCGTGCCTCTTTTGTTCTGCGTGTGCAGAAAGCTGCTGACAGCACTTTGGATGCGTGTGTCACAGGGTTTGTCGACAAATTCGAGTTGTCCATATGAGGTTCTCAATTACAGCCCTACCTTCGGCCTTCCTGTGCCAACCTTTACCAGGGTGTGCCCGCAAGTCACCTCGCCCGGAGGTTTCCCACTTGGGCACTGCCACGAAGCTGCTCCCCATCCCCGTGATGGACGAGCAGCCAGAAGAGACGGCGGTGCCAGGCTGGGAGCTGCAGAATACCTTCTTGGTGGAGGACGCGAGGGGGAGGGGGGGGGGTGTTCTGTTCGGGGGAGGGGGGGACAGCAATGGGGGGGGAGTGGTTGGGGGGGAGGGGAGGGGGTTGTTGCAAATATAAATGTGACAATTACTTTGAAAGGCCTGTTCTCAGAGGTCACACAAAATGGACCGAGACTTCCATAGGCTCAAGACGGGGGCTTCCTTCGAAAGACAAAGCGGGTTGATGGGTGAAGCCTGCACCGAAGGACGCCCCGCCTGCACAGGGCCCGGGCCAACGCTCGCGTGGCCGTTTCGCTACTGCCCGCAGCTCCAAGAGGAGCAAGACACTCCAGCTGCCGTTTTCCGCCGAAAGGGACACGGGCTCAGGCTCGGACACGGAGAATTTCCCGTCAATGGCACGCGCACCTTCCAGCTGGACACTGCCCAGCTCCATCCACGCCGAGCGATCTGGTCACATCCTTTTGCATCTCACTTGCCCAAAGCCCATCTTTTGACTTTTGGTTTCCCCTGGTTCATTTTTTGTCACCCCCAAAAGTCCTACTTAAAACAACGGAGGAATGAGCACATCGTTCGGAACGCGGAGTCTGTAGGAAGTGTGGGCGGGGACAGCCCCTGGGATGCTTGCATGCCGCTCTGCGTCAGCATTTTCTGCCTGGCCGATGTCTTTCCGCTGGTCTTTACAGTTCTGGTTTGCATCCTGGGCGCCGCCTTCGAGCGCTATGCCGTCGTGACCATTAGCCTGCTGGCTGCTGTGCTGGTCCTGGCATTGATATACATTGGCAAGCCCAGGCTTGACTGTTCGGTTCCAGTTTTTTTTTTTTTTTGCATTTCCTCTTAAAAGGTGGTTGAAACACTACCTTTTTGGCCCAGCACGGTGAGTTTCCCTCAGTAGGGGTGATCTTGGGTTGGGCCATGTTGGAAAAGCCATGTCACCGCACTTCTAATCGTTGCTTCGCCTTATGAACAATTGAGACTTTCGAGCTGAAGCTGGCCAAGCTTTTGAAGCTCCGAAGTTCTTACGTTCGGGAGCGGGGAAGGGGCTAAAACTTGCTTCCGCATCTCTCCTATCAGGGAGGTGGCCGGCCTTGGGAAAGTCGCGGTGCTGGAAGGGTGAGGTGAGGTTTCCGCTTGGCCAAGAGCTTGAGCTCGAGGACCTCAGGCTAAAACCGTCTACCTGCAAGAAACCCAAAGGGCCAGAGACCCCTCCCCAAAAAAGACCGAACCAGGCCCCGGCCCAATCTTTGGGTGGGGATGCATTGAAAGCTTCGGCCAGGGAATCCTTGTTGCAATGCTGGCCCAAACGCCCGCACCTGGACAAGATGCAAGCGACCAGGCTGCATCTCGCAATCTTCTCCAGTTCCCACTGGCCATCCGGGTGTCCACCTGTGAAAAGGCCCCCCTCTGCCTTTAGTTCGTTGTTTTTGAGTTGTTCTCCGTTGGTCAACTGGAGGCTAGTAGACTAAGGGGAAGCCACTGGAAGAATGGCGAGCCATGAAACAAAACCCACGTGGGTAGATAAGAATAGGAAGCAAATTGGGCGGTGGTAAACCAGGAGTCAAAATTATGTTGTTTCTTTTGGATGCGCTGCTCTGACTCAAGTCGGCTTGCCTGGCAGGTTGCAGTTGTTGGTCACGGCCAAACTCCGAACGTTTGGGTTCATCTCCGGTCTGGGTGGTTCCCTTTATTTCCCTTTTGTTTTGAAATTAGCCAAGAGGGCCTCAACATTGACAGCGCCTGCTATAAGCCTTGAAGCTGCTGTCGCAGTGCTCATTCCTCCGCGCATAGTGTTTATGCTGCCATTGGGTTTGTGGAATCCGGGGCCGAAGCATTCCGATGCCATGGCTATTCCGGAGAATGCGGAGGTTCCAAGTATTTTCTTGCTCAGCCAAGTGAAAAAAAATCCGACCGCGATGGCTGGTCTTTCATGGCTTCAGATCCTGGGTCCCAAGCCCAAAATGGCCGTGGTCAAGACCTATGGTAGCATTTTGGTGGTTGGACTGGGGGGAAAAAAGGGATTTGGACCCACGCCCAAAAGTGGCCGAGGACTGGGGGGAGATGTTTTGCTCCTTGTCCTACGCGGATCAGCTGGCGAATCGCGCCCCCTTCGTGGCCATCACGTACCTTCTGGGGGTCTTGGCGGGGTACCTGGACTGGTGGTACTCCATGTCCTACTGCGCCGTGATCCTGGTGCTCTGCTTCCTGGTGCAGCGCCTCGCTGTCTCTTTTTGTTTGAGGCTACCCGTTTGGGGGTTTCGGTTGCAAAGGAAAGTTGTAAATTTGCGGGTTCCCGTGTTTTGACACATGTTTGTCAGGCAACCCCTAGTTGGTTTTTGCAGAGGTAAATGGGAAACCGGCCATGCCTGACCTCCAATCCAAGCCACCAATGGAACGGCAGCTGCGGCTCCCCAGAACCAGCATGGAACCTGAAGAGGGGTCTCCTTAAAGGGAATGTTGTCTTCCTGGACGCCCTGTCCAGATGTTTGTTTTGACGGGTGTTTGGGTGTGTTTCCCCAAACACGCTTGCATTTGTTTCCCCAAGCGCAAACCCAAACGAGTACCCTCAAACACACAGACATGCCACTTCTGTGGAAGCGTGGGATGCAGTATGTACCACTTATATCTTCTCCTGAAAACAGTTAAAATCGACATTAAAAGTGCCGTTTGGAAAGGCCTTCGCAAAATATAACAGTTGCACGTGCGATCTCCGCACCGTTCCGAATACCACTTCAGTATCCGGGGCCATGTTTTCGAATTTGTCCGGAGAAACAAGCTTCAACCTCTGTTCAATCCTGCAAAGAAAAAAGGGACGCATGTCCGACATCGCGCGATCTTGAAGTGAAGACCTCCGAATGCAGAAGTAGTCTTCGCAGTGACTTCGCTTCGCGCAACGTCAACCAAGAGTTCTGTCTTTGAGACAGCCTTTGGACGGGGAGACGTCCTGCTCAAAGAAACGGCGGATTCTGCAAACTCCGATGCCGATCCTTTAGCGCGCGATGGCCAAGTTGTGACACCCCCGCTGCAACTGGAATGGGGTTTCCTGGGCGCTTTTGGTGAATTCAGGGAAATGCCGTTCAAAGGCAAGCCAGGTGCAATCGCCGTTTCTTGGGTCCATGTCCCCTCCTGTGGTTTTCCTCCCTGGTTACAGTCAAATCCCGCCAATGAATGTTTTTGGAGGGAGCCTGCATCCATCAATGAAGTTTTTAGTTTTTTTTTTAATGTTCAACCCGCCGGGTTTCTTGATTGGCAAACGGACCATGCGTACCCGACGGGGCCGAGCCTCATGTTCAGTTGGGATCAAAACAAGGGGAAGACTTCAAGTGGGGCGCTTTCACTCGGACGGACAAGTTTGACCTGTTTGAGCTTCCAATTGGGCTCCAGGAGCTCGCAAATGACTCATTTGGTGAATCGAATCCGATTTTTCCGAGCCGGGGGGGGGGGGTTGGGTTGCGCTCGGGGATTCCTTTTTGTCCTTTTCCCCCACGTCTCCTTGTCTCAAAGAGTCGGCGCTAGGATCGCCGTGCTGGTGGAGAGGCCCTGGGGGTGGCTCCTGGGTATGTTAGAGAGCCTGGCGCTGGCGCTGGTCTGCTGCGGCATCCTGTGGGCCAGCCCCGTGCTGGGGCCCGGCCAGGCGCCGAGGGAAGTGACGCGGGAAGCGACGTGATCGACGCGCGCGCGCGGCGTCCGCGCTTTTTTCTTTTGTTTTTGTTTTTTGTTATTGTTTCTTTGGGGCGGGGTTGTGGTTTCGGGAATGGACCAGAGGGGCCCGGCGCGCTTCGATGGAGAAGAAGAAGGCAAGCCGGCTTATTGTTGGCAACCTCCGACTTGGTTTCCAAGAATGGTTTGTCTGAACGGCTGTTGCCCGGCCCTGCTTCCAATCCAAGCTTCGTCTTGGGGCGATTTTGTGGAGTGACTTGGCCCCCTTGTTTGAAGAGTCTGGCCTTGGGACATGAAAAGGACGCAGTGCAATTTGTTTCAAGGGACTGTTCCCGGGCTTAGGCCCGCCTCCAGCGCATCGTGATGGGAATCCTGCGAAAAGAGACCTCGGGTTGATGGGTTTCACTGTGCAACAACTCCGCTGAGTGGCCCAAGGGTCTGCAAACCTGCCAACCTGACCCTTCAAGCCCAACTCCCGTAAAGCGCACCCTGGTTTTGGTCCGCCCAGTCGACGTTCGAGTTGCAGGACACCGTGCTGATTTTGGGCTTCTTCGGGTTTCGGCTCTTTGGGCTGCAGAAGCAGCTGGTGTCCGGGCAGGGGGCGAAGAAGCTGGCGATGGTGGCCTTGTGCACTTTCCAGCTGGCCCTAGACGCTTCGGCAGAAAGCGACGAGATAGCTCACACACACACACACACACACACTCAAGCAAGTGCATATCTACATGCATGTACGTATGGATGGACACATTCAGACACGCGCATGCCTATTGCAAGTGTACCGCATTTCCCGGAGCTCGCCTTGCTTTCGAGTCAACGAACCAGTGTCCGTGGGATGTGCCCGGCACCGCTATTCTTGTGCTGGAAGGACTGGAAGGCAAGGCGCCAATTTGGGAATTGGCCTCAGGTCTTCGTCATCTGCAGCTGCATCGCGCATCATCGCGAGGAGGCCCAGGAGCCCATGTTCTGCGACCCCAGGTTGCCCTCTTGCCCGCACTACCGCGTGGGCTACATTGGGGACCTGGGGGGCCGGTGGCCCATCTGCGAGATGAGCTTCATGACCAACGGCCAGGGCACGTCGCTCTCCCTGTCGGACTTCGCCCTGATGTCTGCCTTTACTTACGAACCCCCGAAGAACGTGCCGAGTCTGCTGCAGCAATTCTTTCCCGGCTGGCGCGTCAGCTTCCAGCACATCCCCCTGTTGCTGACCGGAACCTTTGACTGGACCTCCTTCTATGAGTTCACCTCAGAGGACAACAGCACTTCGGTATTTGCAGTGAGGGGAACCACGGATATCTTCGATGCGCTGCAGGATATGGACCTGTGGCTGCCGGTTGGCATGATGTATGTCTTCGAGAGGCTTGGGCCAAACATCGTGAGCCTGTGGGGTCCTGGTATTGCCTGGATCTGTCGCACCTTCGGCGTACTTGGCACATGTTTGGGTTCAAGCCATGGTGAACCCTTAGGTCTTGAAACGCCCCAGTGCCCTTTTTACCACACTTCTGCGGCGTCGCACCCCCCCCCCTTTTTCTTCCGTTTTTTGTTTGTTTGTGAGGTCGGGTGTATCTGTTGCAAGATGGGAACTTCTCACTGTCCTTCATGGGGCTGCTGCACGAAGTGCGCGCTCGTGGCTCGGATTTGACGCCAAACTGTCTTCCTCTCCAAGGGAAAACGGACATCAACAGGGACAAGTGGAAACAACCAGGTTCAAAATTGATCCTCTCCAAGACCAAAAGAAAAGGGCTGGGGACACTGGGAGTGCACTTTGGGGGGAGATTTCGCCTTTTGTGCCGTTTGCAGTTGCTTTGCCAACGTTGTTTGATTGCATTGTAGCCTGGCATTTTTCTACACCTGCCAAAAGTGTAAACGTTTTGGAGCGTCGTCCCAGCTTTTGTGACTTGTGCTTCCAGGCGGCAAACGCTTGAGTGTTCCACCTGGTCTATGGTTCTTTGTTCTTTTAGTCTTGACATGTCTTGACCTTTGTGCACGCGAGTGCTTCCTTAAATATGTAACTACCGATCAGGAAGCCAATGGCTCAGCTCGACTTTTGGAAGGCTAGTTGCCCCTTCGACTTCGGGCAGCACGAGCCCCAGATTTTTTGTTGTTGGTGGGGAATCTAGGGGTTGATTCCGCATTCTTTTCAACCATTCTTTCCAAAGGCTGGCCGTTTTCCCCTGGGTTTCCGGAGGTTTTCTGGCAAGGATGCCTGGAACCTCAGGGGGAAGGTCCAATGTTGGGACACGGCCGCCGGCACGGTCCACGTGCCGCCGGGGCCCGGCGTTTGCGGAAGCCCTCCGGGCCGAGGCATGCAGAGCTACCCCAGCCGGGTGTACTACATCACGGGCCACTCGCTGGGCGGAGGCCTGGGGGTCCAAGTCGTTTTCAGGAGGACTCGCCCGTTTGATTTTTGCTTCTTTTTTTGTTGTTGTTCTTTTTCTTCTTCTTGTTTGTCTTGTCTTTTTTTCTTCTGGGGGAATGAGGGCTCCATGTTGGCGGGCGCTGGAAGTGACATGATTTCGGTCTCTTTTTTTTGGGTTAAGCACCATCCTTTTGGTCTCCACTTGAATGGGTGTGGCTCCAAATTTGCAAGGACGCTTAGGTGTTCCTTGACATCCGTGTTGGGCAACTGGTGGCCCGATCTTTTTTTGCGGAGGTTTCACGAAGGCGCGCCCTTACGCTCGGGGGGTCGGTCGGAGCCGTCGGACGCCTCGAGGCATCGCCAAGCTGGTGGCCGCCGAGGCCATGCGCGAAGAGCTCAAGGAGTCAGGCGAGCCGCGCGCGCTTTCGGGGAGCGCGGGGCTTGGGGCTCGGCGCGCTTTGGGGGCGTGCCGATGGTGGAAACTCATTGGTGTCCTTTTTTTTTTAAAGGTTAGACACAAATAGATGGCTTCCACTGGTTCAGAGGGGTTTTCTTCCATTTGCCAGGGGGGCATCTAATCATTTGTCCAAAAGGTAACCTATGCTTTACTGACATAAGGTTTCCACCGTTTCCCTTGATGGAACCTCCAAAAGTGGCAATTGTTTGAAGAGAAACCACCAGTCAATTGATCAACTTTGAAAGGGACGTCCAGTGGCCCCTGATTCAGCTTCGTGGTTTGGAGCCGAATCGGTGGTTTGAAGGTGTTCTGGGGGGGCCCAAATTTTGCCCTCTGCAAGAAGGGGACCAAACCCCCAAACCACAAATCCAAACCAGCTAAGGGTTTACTGATGCATGGTGGTTTGGATTGGTTTGGACTGGCGGTTTGTCCCAGTCCTATTGAAGTTGAACGTCAAACCACGAGGAACACTACAACTTTTCGGGGTCACCGTTGACACATGGGCGTTTCTTTTTGTTCAGGCTTCCTTTTTGTGGGGGGCAGAAGGATCCGCGCCCACTCTTTTTCGGGAGTCCCCCCCCCAACAAAAAATAGCGACGACCCACCCACATGCCCCACCTCAAGCCCCCAAAAAAGCACCTTCAGCCCTCCAAACCCACCGGAAGTCCCAAGCGCCGCCTTTCCTCGGAAAAAAAGAGAGGCCGCAGGCCCCGGTTGGGTTTCCTCAAAGCCACCGAAGCCCCACCGCCCAACGAAGCGCAGCGGCGATCGGAGCGGAGCGGAGCATCGCCAGGTCTCTCGGACCGGGTGGAGATGACGGCGGTGGCCTTCGCCGCGCCGGGCATCGGCGTGGCGGAGGCGCTGCTCTTCGGCCGGGACGCCGCTGGGCGGGGGACGGGGGGGACGGGGGGGACGGGGGGGGTGGGGACGGGGGGGGGGGTGGGTGGGGGGAGAGGGGTGCCATGGGGCGTGGTAGGGTGGTAGGGGTGTCTGATTTGCAAGCACCACACATATTCGTAATATTCCTGATAAAGACGGTGGTTTCGAAATTGTGATGTGTGGGGGAGATGAGGAGATGGGGGCTGGCAAGGGAGATGGGATAGGGAATGGGCGACCAGGTGCACTTAGTTGGCGGAGTGGGGATTTGGTTCCTGGCTTTTGCAATGCGGAAGCATCGTTTCAGCGCTGGAGGGAGAGAGAGAATGGGATTCCGGTTTGTGGCTCTCAAAATAGGACGCGGACCCCAAACTGCTTTTCCTTCTGATTCAGTGCATTAGGTGCCCCAGTAGGCGTTTCGGCGCAGGTTTTCTGTACATTCCACGCCACATGGGAAGCCATCGTGTCTCGCGGTGCTTCCTTCAACGAGAATCTTTTTTGCCAAGAGCATCTCTGGTGCTTGGGTTTCCGTCCTGCTACCTGTTGCTTCTCAACCATGAATCTCGAAGAACAAATGAGTGGAGTGACTTCTTCCCGTTCTCAGACTTGCTGTGTTCCAAACGGGGGGGGGGGGGGCCAAATGTTTGGCTTTCCTGAAGTACTCGTCTGGCTGTGACCCGAGACACTCAAAGACTCAGGATTGGAGCCCAACATGCTCCAATGTTGTAGACTGGAACCCCCAGTGCTTCCTTCAGCAAACATCCAAAGGGGGCCCTTCAAAAGGCCAAGCCCAGGTGAAAAGCACCAACCGTCTCACCTCTGTGACGGTGCAGCCCCAGAATGACATAGTGTCCCGCATCGATCACAACACAGGCGCGCTCGCGCGCCCGGCTGTGTGTCAGTTTGTTAAGGGTACCCTTTGTGGTTTAACCAAAAAGGTACTCACAAAGGAGAACCACCAAGGAACCTTTGTAGTTCTCCTTTATGGGTTTTTAAAAGCAAGGCAAAGGGAGAACCACCATTTTTCGTGGATCCCCTACTTGAAGACAAAATCTATGCCAGGCACCTGTTGAACCGCAGGTGGGTTATCCCAGTATTCATAGGGCTTCATCTATCTGGTTCTATCTGGGTGTTGTCCACTGTAGGTCACTAGGACCCCGCTGTTCCGATGCAATTGAAGCAATGACCTGGACAACTGGTAAGTCCTTTTTCCACATGTCTAAATTTGCGACAAGCCGTTCTTAGGTTTGGTTTTGTCGGTGCCCCCTTCGTGACTCCTTCGCGTCCGAGTGACGGAAGAACCGCGTTGGTGGCTGCTTCCTTGTCAAGAACCGCCCTACTGCATCCACATCACGAATCCATGCTCGGGATGTGAAACATCAACATGGCCCTCTTCAAAAAAAGGCAAGCTTCCCACCTGCCAGGATCTACATGTATCTACCCGTATCGCTCGGATGCTTGATCAACACCCGGGTAGATGAAGGTTGGTAAGGAACACTCCCAACCATAAGTAGCTACGGCCGCCTGCTTAATTCCTTGCATGGTTCTGGGATTACGACCATTTTAGTACCCGGTTTTGATTGTGTCTCATCTATCTGGCCGTGGGTCAACACCAATGGTACCATTTTGGGGCAGGTGCACCACCCATTTTAGTCTATTTTGGTGGTTGGATTGGGATGTTCACTGGGGGGTCAGCGATTCGGATTTTGAAAAGCCCATGGCCATCTCTTTGGGTTTCTGGGGGCGTTGTTCAGGCTCGGCCATCCCGGTGGACTGCAAGGGTAGCCCGCGGCACTGCCACAGCATCTACGCCACGCTCTGCTCCATGTACCGCGTCTGCGGCTCGAAGAGGGCGAGCCACGAGCTGTTGATCCCCTGCGACTCCGGCTGAAGCGCATGGGGTCGGCGAAAAGGGCAAGGACCTGCCCAGATCTTCTTTTTTTTCCTTTTTTTTTTTGGGGGGGGTAGGTGGGGCAACCAAGACAAATACATGTTCCCCCCCCTTCCCCCCCCACACACCCAAGGCTAGGTCTTTGACAACCTGGTTTCCTGGCCCTTGATGAGCATTTCATAAGCCTGTTGAGGCACACTTGAAACAGTTCCCTATTCTTCCCATTTTTCGCAAATGAGATCCCTATTGCTCAGGTGGCTGGTGTGCGGATATGCCTTGTGACCTGAATTCATCTGCCTAGGCCGCCCGAATGGGCTAGCCGTGCCTTTGGGGTCTCAAAACTGGACTCGGGGGCACTTTCCTTTTAAAAGGGCACGCCTTTTGGATTCGTGACATTGGACCTAGAACGCCACTGCCAAGCGGTGGCGAAATTGCTTCGGAGGAAAAAGAAGGCAGATCCCGACCTGGACTTGTGCGACCTATGGGCCTTTTGTGTGACCAATCGCTTTGCGTCCTGTGCAAGGGCCACAATTTTGTGAGGTTCATGTGACAGGGCTCGGGCCGCGGAAAAGTGGGAGCAAAGTGGGACCATTGATGAGTCGGGTTTGGTTTGTGGCTGCCCCTTGCGCAGGTGACGGTATCATTTTGGGAGTTTCTTAGTCGCCTCCCAAAGCCAAGGTGCAAATCCGAAGCCCTAAGTAGGGAGGAATTGGGGGCAGCAAATATTTACTGAACCGAGTACACGTGCAAGTTTGCTTGCAAAGGCTGACGCAAAACATACTATGTGGGCGATGTCAGGCTTTCAGCCAAATGATGGGTTTGCTTTGTTGTTGACGGTACTTTTTTGGGGGAGGAAACTGACCCTAGCCCTGCCTGTGTGGGGTCTACTGGCCTGAAAAGGCTGAGGGGCCCGCCGGTTTTGCACTGGGTGCTAAATAGACAATTAAACAGGATCCCCCCAAAAGGAATATAATATATGTATATCTGTATATATATATACACATAGACATCTGTACACACACACACATATATATATATATGTATATATCTATTTCTATGCACATACATGTGGGTATTCCAGGTTCATTCCAACCCCCGCCCCCATGCCCAAAGCAGTGGTGCAGGTGCGCAGCGGGCAGAGCTGGAAGGCGTGGCGCATGCGGCCTTTGACGATCCGGACAATGTGAACGTCCTGGGCTTGCTGCACGAGTTCGGCGCCTGGGCTGTGTCAAAAACCTGGCGCGGACGTGTTTTTTCTTCCCCTTTTCTTTTTTCCTTCTTCTTTTTCCCCTTTCTTTTTTTGGCGTGCGTGTGTTTTTGTTTGTGTGTGTGTGTTTGTGTTTGCCGGGTTTTCTGAGACCCGGGTCAGCTTCAAAATGAAGCCAAAAAGGAAAGGGCCATTGTTTGGGTACCCTATTCAGACACGCGCACACGCGCACACACCCCGGGAGCGAAATAGTGCGATTTGATTGATTGGGAGCACCATCTGAAATAGTGGGGAAGATAAACAAACCGCAACAGATGGCTATGATTTGTTGAACCACCCCAACTGGTGACAAGTGCTGTTGTCCACCAACGCGCCCATTCCCATCTTGCAATTCGTTCCCAGATTGCAAGATTGCATTAGAGGCAAGCGATGTTGGAAGGGCTTGGATTTCATGCTGCTTCAAGCGAGGGAGTACGCTTTTCGGGTTAGGACAGTTTCTTAAGGGCTTATTTGGGCTCCCTCCCCCCCCCTTCTCCTTCCCCTTCCTATCGTGGGGGCTGACGGGGGGTGCCTGGTGTTTGGTTAGCTGTTCGCTTTGCGCGTTCTAAGGCCTCGTGCAGGAGCTCACAGGAGTGGCATGGCAAGCAGCAAGCGATCCCCCGCGGCCCCCAAAACTGAAGAGCGTTGTTTACGCAGGTTGGATCAGGAGGTAGAGCAGGTTGAAGTGGGTGGCAATGATATTTTCTTAGGGGACGTGATGGACATTTGGGATTCATATCCACCAACCACTTCTCATGTGGTTTCCTTTCAACCCCCCCCCCCTTGGGAGCCAAAGACTGGCCGGCTCAAAGGGCAATCCGCCAGCAATCCGCAAGATCCGAACTGTTAAGGACCCTGATTAGGATCGGCTGTGCCAAGCTTGACCCGGGAAAAACAAAGGGACTTCCAAAAAATGAAAGCCACAGAGAACATGGATGGGCCAGTGGGTGGACTTAAGCCCACATTCCCCAAAATGAAGAACCCCTGGGTGTAAGTCCATACTGCGGGTGGACGAACTCGTGCACCACTTCGAAAGCATGGGAAACCACTGTCTGTTGGCATTTGCAGGGAATCGACTTCTTCCAGAATCTTTCTCAGGTGCGATTTGATTTCGCAACCATCCACAGGGTCGTCCAAAGAGTGGGACCCCTGACCCCCCCGTTCCTTCCCTCGCAGGTGCGGTCCAAAACTCCGGCCTTGAAGCCCACGACCTTCCTTAGCCGATCCCTGGCGCAGGCGACTTGGCGACTGCTCTGAGCGAGCGTGGGGGGTGGTGGGCTATTCTGTGAAGCGGCGATGCCGCCCTTTTTTTATGTGATGGAAGAAGCCCCAAAACACTGAACAACATGCAGCCGCCTCGGTGTTTTCTATCTTTTTTTTTCCCGAAAGCATGGCGAAGGGTTCTTCCGCTGGGTTCACTTGAGTTGTTCTCATGAGAGTCATTACAAGGTGTCATTGCAAGGAATCATCATCATGAAAGTCATTGCAAGGAGTCATTGCAAGGAGTCATTGCAAGGAGTCATTGCAAGGAGTCATTGCAAGGAGTCATTGCAAGGAGTCATTGCAAGGAGCAAGGAGTCATTGCAAGGAGTCATTGCAAGGAGTCATTGCAAGGAGTCATTGCAAGGAGTCATTGCAAGGAGTCATTGCAAGGAGTCATTGCAAGGAGTCATTGCAAGGAGTCATTGCAAGGAGTCATTGCAAGGAGTCATTGCAAGGAGTCATTGCAAGGAGTCATTGCAAGGAGTCATTGCAAGGAGTCATTGCAAGGAGTCATTGCAAGGAGTCATTGCAAGGAGTCATTGCAAGGAGTCATTGCAAGGAGTCATTGCAAGGAGTCATTGCAAGGAGTCATGGAGTCAAAGCAAGTTGCAAGTGCTTGCAATGCAGCGAAGGAGTTAAAATCTCTTCTTAGGGCGGCGGGGTAGTGCCGACGACACTACACGAAAATCGACCCTCTGCGGGGATCGGCGTGGTCGAGGTGCAAAAACCCATGGTTTTTTTTTGCGATTTCTAAAGTTCCCGCGCGACCCTCTGCGGGGGCGTGGTCGAGGTGCAAAAACTCGAGGTTTTTTGCGATTTCTGCGGGATCGGCGTGGTCGAGGTGCAAAAACTCGAGGTTTTTTGCGATTTCTGCGGTGCCCACGCAACCCTCTGCGGGGATCGGCGTGGTCGATGTGCAAAAACTGGAGGATTTTTGCGATTTCTGCGGTGCTCGCGCAACCCTCTGCGGGAATCGGCGTGGTTCGAACCGGGAGTTGTCTTGTGGTTCGCGCGCCTGCTCCCGGAACCGGCGGGTCGCGGGTTCGATTCCTCCCTGGTCCGCGGGCGGGCGTCGCAAGATGCAACTTGCATTTTAAAGCAACTTGCGCAGAGCAACTTGCGCAGAGCAAGTTGCACAGATCAACTTGCGCAGACCAACTTGCACCGACCAGTTTGCGCAGAGCGCCTTGCCTAGAGCAACTTGCGCAGAGCAACTTACGCAGAGCAACTTGCACAGAGCAACTTGCACAGAGCAGCTTGCACAGAGCAACTTGCAGGGAGCGCAATTTGCACAGAGCAACTTGCAGGGAGCCACTTGCAGGGACCAACTTGCCGGAGCAACTTGCGCGGAGCAACTTGCGCAGAGCAACTTGCACAGTGCAACTTGCGTAGAGCAACTTGCGCAGACCAACTTGCACCGACCAGTTTGCGCAGAGCACCTTGCCTGGTGCTGTCTCGCGCTTGCTTCACGAATGCTTCGTGTAGGGAAAAAGAACGCATCCTGCAGCGTTGGGCCGACCTCGCTTGCGATGTTCTGCTTTCGGGCCAACCGTGGTCTAGTTTTAATAAGTGAGGGTAGCAATGGCATTCGCGCTGAATGTGCCGTGCGCTGAATGTGCGGTGCGCTGAATGTGCGGTGCGGTCCAAAATTTGCCTGATTTGTCCGGGAGGGACGTGGGGCACTCTCTGAATTTCCCGCTTCAAAACCGGGGACACTCAGATTGTCCCATAGGGGAAACAAGCAAGTTAAACCGTGGCTCATGTGAGTTGGGCCCGCCGGGTTGCTTCATCGCAGCGCTGGGTTGGGAATATGCTCCATGGCTGGTTCGGTACTGTTCTCTCGCGATTCGCGTTGTGCATTTTGTGGGGCACTAGGGAAAACAACTTACGACATCGTGCTCTTACCCAATCTTTCCTTTGTTCTTGAAGGTTTAACCTTCACGGAACCCCATCTTCCGATCCCCCCCCTTACCCCCCCTTCCCCTTCCCCCCCCCTTCCCCCCCCTCCCCCCCTTCGTTAGGTTCGTGGCCTTTCGTTCGCAGTCCGGAAGGCCAGATCCTGGGTGTCTCCGGTTTTCCTCTCCACCCACAAGGGCCGCATCACCTCCGGTCTCCCGGAGGTGGATGGCCCAGTGCTCTTGGTGGGCAACCACCAGCTGCCCCTCGGCCTCGGCCTTGCTTCGGGGGCTCTTTGTGTGATGAAGCACAAAGATGAAGCAACCGCCTAAAGAATGAGGGTGGGGTGGGTTGGATGGGGTTGGATTCGATTGGGTTGGATTGCATTGGATTGGGTTGGGTTGGATTGGGTGGTTTGTTGAGGCGCCCCCCAAGAATGGAATTGAGGAGGAGGACACTTTATCGAGGTTTCTATTTTCCCGTGAGCAGGGCGAGCGAAATGGAATTGGGGGATCGCCCATTATGCCCCTGGAGGTTGTGGGGTATCAGGAAGAAGCCCGCAAACAACATTGCGAAGTTTACGAACTCAACATGTAAGGAGGCCCCTCATGTTGATCCCAGATTTGAAAACAGACCCTTTGGGAATCCTACCGCGAAGGTGATCCGGATATTTGCTACACTTCTCCGTCTGAAATGCCAAAGGAGTGAGGATTTTGCCACGAGCATCGGGTCTGCAGTTTGTTTTGTGCCATTGTTCCCAGCAGTTCATGCCTCCGTGTTTGAGAGGTCGTGCGTTTGTGTGCAACTGCGTATGGCGCAACTGACTCACGACAAGGGCACATATCTGGCCTTTCCGACGTGCAAGCAGCTTGCGTCCGAGGTTCAGCTTGGACGGCATCTTCATCGTGGAAGAGTTCCTGCGAGAGCAGCAGCGGCTGCCCAGCTCATGGAAGGAGAGCAGTTGAGTTGGTAAGTGCTTCATGGTGAAGGGAATCCCCTGAAACATGAACCCAGCAGCCACATGGGAATTGTACTCTGGTATCGCAAGGGTTGTTTCCTTCACGGCTCATAGCTAAAACGGGCGTCTTACAATACTGGACACGACATGGCGTTTCTTGCTCTTCATTGGATTCTCCAAAACCAAGGGCAGCAAGAAGGGGTTTGAGAAACGCACCCAAATGGTGCGGGGCAAGCACCAAGGCTGGTGACTGCACTGGTGTACCCGCCGCTGTTGGACGTGTCTTGGCTGCACTCGATTCTGCTCGAGGGATATTGTCTGCGGAGATGAGTGGCCTTGTCATGAGCCCCGATGGGAATTGTAAGAGCACTATGATTATAACCCGCTTGCACACAAATGCGGCACATATGTGTGGTCATTTTGACACCCTCCTACTTGGGCCCCAAGTATGGCCATTGCCCCTTGCATTCGAGATAAGACTGAGGGCTTGTTTGGGAGCACTGGATCCATTTCTACATTTAGAGGCGGGGGTGGCGTTTTGTCCGAGGACGTGTCGCCATTGGATCCGTTGCCATATCCTTTTCCCGGCTCTCGGGAGCTCTTTGAGAAGTTCAAGGCGGAGATGGAAGGGACCAGAATTTCCCCGTGCGGCTCATTTGGCTGCGGGTCAAAACCAATGGGATCCCATTTTCGGGTAGGTGCACCAGATTGGGATGTCACTGGGGGGTATAGGAGTTTGACCCATGGCCATTTCCTTTTTGGAAACCCAACTTTTAGGTTTCGAGGGGTTCAACATCAATTGTTCATTGTCCATTGTGCTGGTTTTCTTTGGGAGTGGTGTCCCATGGTTGCGGTTTCCCAGCTTGAGCCAAGGCTTCGCACCATCGAAGCCGGCCTTCTCGACATGTCAGAAAGCTTCCCTGTGAAGGGAAAGGAGCCCTGAACGCATCCTCAACCCCAGCCTCCCCAGCCCCAGCCTCCCCAACCCGAACCGGCTTCTCCAGCTGCGAGGTGCAGCCGGTCAGCGCCCGGAACTTACTGCGGTCTTTGGCCGGCGACGGCGCGGCGCTTCTTTTCCCCGGCGGGGCCCGGGAGGTGTTCAAGCGCCCCCCGGCCGCGCAACCAGCGAGCGCGTCCGTCCGTCTCTGAGAGACGCGGCAGGGGGTCAGCCCGCCAAGGAAGCCAAACGAAGCCAAAGGACACCAACCACCTGGAGGGGTTTTGTTATATCTCAGAAACGCCGAAAATGAGCAGCCGGAGCCTGACGTTTGGGGGGGGGGTCCTGGAAGAAGACTCGAGTTTCCTTTTGAAGGGACCAGGTCCCGAACGTGAGGGGCACTTATTGGCTGGCGGGGATTTTGTGGAACTTTCTTGGCCCTTGAGTGAACTGTCAGGTTTTTGTACATCAATCCTTGAAATGCTACTCCCCGCATCAGCAATGATGGAGATGAGGTGGCAACGAAATTCTGACGTTGAAGGCAGATGCAGAGAGTCTGGTTCAGTATGGAAGCACATGCCGCATGAGCTTGTGAACTGTTGCATCTAAACAGATTTTCATTAGGACGCCTTGATTTGAAGCGAATCAAGCGGACCGCTCGCTTAACAACATTCGTGGCCGTCTGTGCGGCTTGGGCGCTAAGCTGTTGAAAGCATTGCTTGGTGCGGATCCTACTCAGCCTTCCATGGGTGCTGCGTAGCTATGCTTTAACGTCCACATTCCAGAAGCCAAAATGGGGCGGAGGGGACGATTTTTTGGTATTTTTGTTGAGCGCCTTGCACCCAGTTCCCGAGGTAAAGGGGAGGAATATCAGCTCTTCTGGCCTGAGCAGTCCGACCTGGTCCGCCTTGCCGCGCGAGCCAATGCCACCATCGTGCCCTTCAGTGGGGTGGGCAGTGATGAGCACCTCGCCAGGCAAGAAACGGGGCCCCGAAAGGGCCCTCTCTTCCCCCTTAACGAACGGGGGGGGGGGGGGTCCTTTTTTTCTCATGTTTTTTGCTGCACATCATTTAGGTGGAGATTCACGGCCACCAGCCACGTGCGAGAGAAACCACCCCCCCGACAAAAAGCCGCGAAGTGTCGCAGTCCGCCCAGGTTTTTTGGCGGGTCTGTTCTGGACTCCGATGAGCTGCTTCGGATGCCACTTCTTGGCAACTCGGCATTGAGGTTTGGGCCCAGAAAAATCCTTTCCGGACGGCGTGTCTTGGCAACAGGGCCTTTTGTTCAAACGATTTTCCCGATTTTCTGGATACATTGCTTTGTTTCTACCATGCTCGAGGCTTGTTGTGGCGGCTTATTCTTATTGGTTACCACACTTGCTGCGTAGAATGTTGCTTTTGGTATTCTCGAAATGTCATACGTTCTAGAACTAGCCCAATTTGATTATGTCTGGCTCGCTAGTGGACGCACAAAGCAGAGGCTCGGATTGTGGTGGGATTTTGCAATTTTCCCACGTGAGCTACCAACACCCCCCCTTGCTACTCGGTTGAATAGGGAGTCTAATAATTCAGTATTCTCTTGAGGCTTTCTAGTCGTGCAGAACCAAAAAGCCCATGTGCTTTCGTCGTATGGCTTGACACCTCAGGAGATTGGCTACGGCAGCGAATCTCAGATCTTCCGAGTTTTGTAAAGGCAGGGCCACGACGCCAGTGAGTCGATCGCTGGTGAAAAGGGGCTGCCTCTCCCTTGACAAGCACCACAACTCCCCCGGCAAAGGTGGTTGGTGGACACAAATCCCAACGAAAACGATGTACACAGGGTTCCTAGTTAGAATTCCTATCCATTTGTCACGGCAGGCGAAACGGCTAAACTTGGAGATGGATGACTGCCAATCCCGCCAGGATGATGTTTTCGTTCCTCCTGTTCCCGTGCCAAGATTGCAAGGAGCGAGCCGTGCTTTGCAGAGTGTGCTCGAGTGTGTTCGCCTAGCCTCAGCCAATTCTCATGTGGGCGGGTCCGAAAATGCGTCGGAGTGGGTGGTTTCCATGCAAGGGGCCGCCCCATCAGACGCAGGACCCAGGCGGAACTATTTTTTGTTTGGCGAGCCGGTTCCCACGGCTCCGTGGCGAGAAGAGCGGCCAGAGAGAACCGGGGGGGAGGGGGCGGGCCAATTCGTCCCGAGAACTGCTGGGCAACGGATCTTTAGACTTCAACTTCTTGGTGGAAATAAAGGTGTTGTCCACTAAACCCCCAAAAAGTTGTCAACTTTTTGCTGGGGGGTCGACAGCAACCAAGTTCCCCCAGATCGGATGCATGGAGTTGGGGGTCCGACCCCCGCCCCCCTTTCCCGCATGGCAGCCCAGGCCGATTTCGATGTTAATCCGCAGGAGGGTACTGCCCTCCTACCGAACCGCTCCAAACCACCACAGGAGAGGCCGATTGTTACAGGCGTGTGATCTTTTTTTAGGAACCAGGTCTGGTTGTCCCTTTCTCGTTTGGTCCTGGTTCAGATGTCCCACCGTGGCTGGTGCATGATTCCACCCTGCGCAATGGTCCCACGGGCTCGCAGCAGGCCACGTGCCATGCATCTTGGGTCAAGTTCTGAGAGCACATTCTCAGCCCAGCAGCCAACGCCAAACAACCAATAAGAAACTCAGCGGACAAACATCAGGCGATTTAGGCGATTCTTCCAATCGATCCACGCGATCGCCAAATTGAACTGCAGCAGCAAAGCCGCTGCTTGCGCTTTTGCATTCTGGTTGCCTTGGCGGCTGACAGCCCGATGTTGAGAATGCAGCACCTGCGGCCCCCGCAAGCCCAGCTGGTGCTGTGAGAAGTCTTCCGGGCGAAGGGTTGGTTGGAGGTCCCGCCAATTTGAATTCAAAGGTAGCCGCATCTCAGGCTGTTGCTTTTGAGACATGTCGATTGGCATGTAGGACCTTCAGGCAGGCACAGCCGTGAGCGTGAAGCGCGATGCGCCAACTTGGCCACATGCCATGGTCGGCGCTAGCCTCTACGGGAGCTTCAGGAAGGCTCCCTCTTCCGAAGCGAAGGCGACGGGGGCGAGGGGGGGGGAAGGGCAGCGGCAAGTGGCGCAAAAGCAATGCCATGAGCCATGTCTGAGAAGGGACCTGCCATGCCTGTGGATTTTCAAAAGGGAGGTGGTTCAAAGCGGTTGAGGCAACAGTTGGCGCTTTTGGATGGAAGAGCCATGGCACCCGCCAGCGCTTCCACAAAACCCGTGGATTCCGGTGGCCATGGCTCAGGATGGGCCTCACTTGGCTTTCATCCAGAGCTTCGAGCAGGGCGACTTGTGGCACTTCCTGGGCTTGGTCCAGGAGTCGCTGCGCGGAAACTCCCTGGACGCCGTGGGGCCCTGAGTGAGAGAACCTTGGGATGAGGTCGCAGAGAGCGACTTCTTAGCTGTGACGACCCGGGCGACTTTTCCTTCTTTTGTTTCTTTTCTTTGTTTTCCTTTTTTTGGGGGGGGGGGGGGTGGGGTGCGGAGAGAATGAATTGAAATTCTGACAGACTTAGTGGATGCATGTGGCGCGTTTTTGGAGCTGATTCGAAGGGAAGCCAAAGGGAAACCATCAGTTCACTGTTTGGAGGCTGACCCATTTTCATGCTGGGCCTCTCAATTAAACACCATGCAACCTTTGCATTTTGCGTAGGTTCGTTAATAGGGGCTTCTAAGGTCTAGAAGCAGGCTTGGCATCATTTTGACATTTGCTTAAACACCCTCCTTTAGGTTTTCCTTTCAATGCATTTCCTAGCCTGGGGCATGTTGGGCCACCCCCTGTATGGAATTGGGGGAGACCTTCCCACCAATTAACTGACACTCCAGGGTCCTGGCTTGGACCATGTTTCCTTTTGAAGGGAGGCCCTGTCCCGAACGTCAGGTTCCATGTGAAAAGGATGGGAGGGTAATGTTGCCCGCATCTTTTTCAACCCCAGTTTATCAATAGGGGGGTGTCCCTGCATCTAGTGGGGAATCATCACTTTTGGAGGGGAACGCCCCCTCGGCGGCTCGGTGCCGCAGGTGAGCGCCAGCACCGCGCTGCACCGCCTCGCACGGTTCTGGGCCGAGAGCCGCGAGGCTTCGGCGCCTTCGGCGGGGAAGAGTTTGGAGGTGCTGGTGCTGTTGAGCCACCGCCTCGCAGACATCTTCAGGTGGGGGGAGGGGGGGAGGTTTTCTGGGGGGGCGTTTCTGACAATGGATTTCTGGCCTTTGGGATTCTGTGAGTGTGTGTGTGTGTGTGTGTGATTTTTTCGGGGGGGCTTGTACCTCAAGGCAGGTGAGCCATTTTCCCCAAAGCCAGTCCGAAAGAAGGTGTCGGGGGCAGGGGTTCGGCGTGGGGAAAGTTCCAAATGACCCCATGTGGTACATCCAGCACAGCTCTGCCTTTCAAATGCTATTGCTGCGAGCTCAGGCGCACAGAACGCATCTGAATGAAGGACAGAGATTCACCGCGGCACGGATTTTGCAATTCGGGCATGTCCGACCCTGAGAGGTACACTGAGGGCCCAGACCTGCTGCCTGGCAACAGATGGTCAAGGTGAAACTCAGTTTTTTTTGAAGGGGCAGCCACCCATACTGTGAGGACAGGATCCTGAACCAGTTGCCAGCTGGTTTATGCGCGTATGTCTAGGGGCATTTTGTCCATCCCTGATTTTGTCCTATGCGTAGCGGACGAGTTGGGCGCGGTGTGCACCGCTCAAACATGTCCAACACGGCTATGTTGAATCCAAACTGTAGCGGCACCAGGGGAAGGTACCTGTCCGCTGGCATCCCTTAGTTGAGGTGAAGCAGTACAACTCACCCAGATATATTCCGTTCAAACTGACAACTTGCATATGTGGCGAAGATGAATTATTTTTGTGCAGGTAACCTAACAGCTAACAAACCTCGAGTTCCAATGTTCCCGGCAAAGATGAAGAACCCCTTCTCTCCACCCAGCGTTCTTTTGAGAGCACCCACGGCTTCCCGTGTGTTCCGCCTTATTGCGAAAAAAGGACCTCTCGAAGAACATGGCTTTAACTCACCAGACATTTGGCCCCCTTTTAAGATTGGCTTACATGTCAACCAAGGACCCCGCCACCCATTTGTGGCTCCCACCTCGTAGAACTCTTCGTAGGACCCGCCATGCCAAACACACCTCCAATTCTGGCCTATTGTACCCTTTGCGCTTGGGCAGCCAAACCACATCTTTTCGGCTTAAATGGAAGCCACATTGAACTCACTTCGGCTGCGCCGATTCAGATCCGTTTGCAAAGCATGTTGTAATTGGAATGTGTCCTTCTGCCGGGACCC